TTCACACCTCCTAGGATGATTTTAATTTAAAAAACATAAAATAAGTATTGGTGAGGCTATTGAGAAATTGGAACTCTCATACATTGCTGGTGGGAATGTAAAATGGTGCAGCCACTATGGACAGGTTTGGAGGTTCCTCAAAAAGCCAAAAATACAATTACCATGTGACTCAGCAATTCCACTCCTAGGTACCCACCTAAAGGAAGTGAAAAACGGACTCAGATACTTGTACACCAATGTTCACTAAAGCATTATTTACAATAGCCAAAAAGTGGAAACCACCCAAGTGTCCATCAACAGATGAATAAACAAAATGTGGTATATATCTACACAATGGAATATTATTCAGACATAAAAATGAATGATGCTGATACCTGCCACAACATGGATGAATCTTGAAAACGTTATGCTAAGAGAAAAAAGCCAGACCCAAAAGGACACATTTCAATATCTAAAATAGGCAAATTAATAGACAGAAAGTAGATTAGAGGTTACCAGGGGCTAGAGGGAAGGAGAAATGCGGAGGTATTGCTTAGTGGTTACAAAGTTTCTATTTGGGGTGACGAAAAAGTCTTGGAAATAGGTAGTGGTGATGGTTACACAACATGGTGAATGTAATTAACGCCACTGAATTGTACACTTAAAAATCATTAAAATGGCAAATTCTGTTATATAAATTTTTATCACAATTAAAAAAATAATGTAACATACCAAAAACCTTTGAATTGTACACTTTAAATGAGTGAATTACATGGTATGTGAGTTATATCTCAATAAAGCTACTTTTAAAAAACCCAATGGACTTGCAAGTGCAATGATAATTAGAGATCACTTGGATCAATGAGTCTAGTTTGAGAACAAAGCAAATTACTGTGCTAGCCTAAGCAATGTTTAGTTGTGAAGGCAATTTGTGGTCATGTACATAGTTTGATTACATCCGACTTTTCTAGTTCTGATACAATAATTTGTAATAGAACCTATGATAAAACCTAGCCCAATAACAACCATTAAAATTAAAATTAGGGGAGGAGGGATATCAAAACAAAAGGTACATATACTCAAGAGTTCACACAACTTTTTAAACTAATTTAGATGAGCGATTCCCAAATACCAGTGTAAGACGATGCCCATTATGGAACTGTACACAAGCAGGGACCAAGATGAGCCTGTTGATCTGAAGTGTTAACTACAAATCACTTATTAAAAGATGATTTCAGGGCCGGCCCCGTGGCTTAGCAGTTAAGTGCACTCGCTCCACTACTGGTGGCCCAGGTTCGGATCCCAGGCGCGCACGGACGCACCACTTCTCTGGCCATGCTGAGCCGCGTCCCACATACAGCAACTAGAAGGATGTGCAACTATGACGTACAACTATCTACTGGGGCTTTGGGGGAAAAAAAAGTTGATTTCAGCTAGGCAACAATGGCAATATTAGGGTCTTCACAGTTGGTAGGAACAGCCAGAGATGGTTTAGTCCTACCTGTGCTCAGGGTCTTTATCCTTAGACCTGCCCAACTTCTTGTGTTTCTTCTTAACATTTCCCCAAATCAAATTTTTACTAAACCAGGCTCTCAATATCACTGTATTTGGTTGATATTCCAAAATTACAAACAAATTCTAAAAATAATTTGATACTTTGGCTTATCACCTCCCCTTGCCATTAGCATGGAAAATGGAAAACTGCTGGTATAGAAATTACAAACGTGTGTGAAGGGTAAAGGATAGGTCAGATATTTTGCTGTCAGGTTAAAGAATGGATGGGGTTTTTAATCATGTGGATTAATGGGACCATAGATAACCTGAAGGGAAGTCTGGGTTTGGATTATTTTTTAGCTTAATTTGGGAGTTTCTGCTATAAAAACAAAATACACTTTATTTAGTTTAGAAGATTTGAGTAACCCCCTGATAAAAATTCAGTGTTAACACTTAATTCAATCTGAGCATGTTTTTTCATAAAATTATCAAATTGAAGCATAATCCAAAAATGAAAGAAAATAAATGGATTTAAAAAATCAGTCATTTTGGGAAAAGACTAATTATTAATACTAATAACTGAACCAGATAGTAACCAAGACAGAGAAATAATAACAAGAAGAGAAACTCCAAACATGGAGAAGTGATTCATGACATTGTGAACTATTCTATACAGAGGGACTTACTGGACTGAGGCTTAAGTTTCTCAACAGTGGAATAAAACAAAACATTACAACATGGAATTTTCCCCCAAAGGAATGTGAGGAAGCACTTTTAAAAGAAGCCTGGATGACATGAGGGGAGAAAATTTTGTAATGCCTATGAGCATCGTATGTTTTTAATTCACCACTTAGAAAAGATGACCCTGAAAAGAACATAACACATTGGGTCATAGGGAACATGTGTCAGCTTCATGATTAAGCACATTATCCTGAATGGGCCCGTTTTCTCTGCAGAGAGAAGAAACCCTGCTCCACGGTTACATGCTAAACTTTATCGTGGCCATTTGTCCCGGACAATATGAATTAAATAGTCTGTCACTGCCACCAGAAAAAATGAAGCAACGTTCCACGGACCAAGCGAGCAGCAAGATGTCGTATAAAGTAGACAGGACTAAGATGCAAGAAGCTTACTTCTAGCTGTAGCTCTAAACCTACACTTCTTGACTGAGCCATTTATCCTCTCCAGGTCTCAGTTTCCCTAACTGTAACAATAGGATGGTTTCTAAGGTACAAAGATGCCTAATACTTTATATATACCAAAGTTAAAAATATCAAGAAAGAAATCAACCAGGAGCCCAATACGTGCCCTACACTCACAAGCCAGCCCCTGAGCAGAAGAAAGCTCAAGTTCAATATTCGACAAGTAAATATTAAGAGTCAGCCTTACGTCCACAGAACAGAACAGAATCAGACCTGTTTCACTTGGAGTTCTTCCCAAGTTATCAACACATAAGCAGCAAACAGCATTAACGATTAAGGGAGAGGATGCTGTTAAAGGAAGGCTCACTGCCAGGGAAAAAGAAGGAAGAGCTGAGCACGAGGAAAAGAACCTAACACTGGACCTCAAGACAGGAAAGCACAATGGTCTGGGGCCAGGTGGCATAGAGAGGCTTAAATACCTCTATCACTGTGTTACAGCATGGCTCAATGCCTGATATTTGTAATGATATAACCCTTGAGCACCAAGAAAAATCGAAATTATGTTTGCCATACTCTGCTTAGTAGGTAAGGAAACACAGTTTATGACTATGACCATTTAAAAATTTTAAAAATAAAGTTCTGTTAAAAAAAAAAAAAAAATCAACCTAGCCCAAAGGGAAATGTTGCCTTCATCAGATGAGAGAAGTTACTATAAAAGCCTATTGTTCTTCAGACAGTGGGTCAGTGACATCTTTACACAGAGAGCAGAGATAAAGTAAGGCAACGGAGAGTCATTCTGTGAACAAGCTTCAACTGCTGTTACTTCCTTTATAAGAACAATGAAAAGAACATGATGAAAACTCCATCTATAACCTAGAAAAACATATAACTTTGAAAAAGTCAGAATATTTATTTCTGCATTTAGAAAGATGCCACCTGGTCAGAATGAAAGAAAATACTGCCTAAATAGAAATCATGGTTTTATCTTTAAGTTTTAAAATTTGGTTATATTGAGAAGTATCAATATATGTATCTTCGTAATGCAAAAATCATAAAACTTTTTATATCAAATCATTTGATTATATACTGTGCTTCAGTGTGTACCACTGGTGCTCAATATATAACATGTTTACATTTCTTTCTGTGTGAGACGAACAGAGTGAGTAAGCAGTTATTCTGACCAGAAGGTCATTTATCCAAATCCAGAAAAGTTCTAAGCTCCAGGATTCCTAAGACATTCCTGTATGTTTTCATGAAAAACCAACAATAACAAGCAAACCATTTCTTCTGAGAGGGTACACATTTTTTTTTCAAAGCCTAAAAACCTTTCAAGATTGTGTCACAATAGCATCATTATGCTGAGTAAACAGACTCTTTGGAGGCCCTTTCCCTTGAGCCTCCAAGTCATCAGGATACCAGGTGTCTCCTAGCCCTCTCCTCAGCATGATCTGCCTTAGGATCCAGGTGCTCAGAGGAAGAGCTGGCAGGGGCACCTGTAGGTTCCACAGCAACACAAAGGCTGGCAACAAGTTCACAGAAGCCTACACAGATTTTAACCAGTCAAGTGGCCACTTGCCTTTCAAGAAGCAACCTCAACTCTTGTGGCCACTTTAATCAACCCTCATTCACAACTGCTTAGGCCAACTGCTGGAGCAGATGGGGCCAGACTCTTCACTGAGACTCCTCACCTGAGGATCAGTCTTCAGCATTTGGAACTAAATTCTGCTTCCTTCTACTTTCTCTCCTCGTGGTTCCCTTAAGTTGTTTTGTTTCTCAACGTACCAAATGGGAAAACTAGTTACTAAAAGAAAGCTGGTAAAAGCCTTAAAACATATGGTGACAAGATGCCTACAAACCAAATACAGGTATCTCTACTCAATTACAGTTGACTATCATTTATTATATCACAATGTAGAATGTCTTTAGGGAAAGCCATATATGCAAGTTTTTAATCAATCAGAAGAGACTATGACCTGTTTAAAAAAAAAAATTTACATACCTAAAATGAAAATCTCATGAGATAAGGAAAGCCAAGATTTTGATCTACTCTTGGCTTAGGCTTAGCCATTGAGAGTATAATGATGGCCAAACTAAGCTGTACACCACCATGGGATGGGACTGGGCTGAATTAAAATAACAACCACATCATCAGGTATTTTGAGCATTACAGTAAAAGCTAGAGAAAAGCAAAGTGTTATTTAATAGTTTGCACATCTGACCACAATTCTAGGAAAAATCTCTTTAGAGGGCTAATCAAATTGATAAATCCCTCCCTGTCAGACTGAGCAGACATATTGCCTTCATTTGATTTCCTGTCCAAAGAGGTTCTATTACTTCCTTCCACCTCATAAGGAAACTCCCAATGATTACATCATTAGTACTTACATTCAAAGCATTCTTTGCAGCTTCTGCTTCTGAGCGACTGTCAAAACTGACAAAACCTACGGGCTGAGGAAAGAAAAAGAAATATGAAAGAAAAAAAAAATCAGGGATGTCCATTTTTCTGGATCAAAGGTGATGTCAAACTGAAGAGCTAAGATAAGGAAGTGACCACAGGCAATGCGTAGAAATAAGAAAGACCGTCCAGAAGAATGACTCAGTGCCTTAGCCAAATTTCTAACATGAATCAAAGGGATTGTGAGGGTGGTTCTTGAAGGGCACAGCTATGGATCTGGAAAAATCATAAACAAAATCGAGGAATTGGAAGGTAAGCAGCAGTGAACAAGGGGACAGAGGAAAACTTGGGTAGAGAGGCTCTGCTTTCCTAAGCTGAATTGACTGTACCTCAGTTTCTTCATCTTTTAAAACGGAAAGAGAACCGTTATCACCTTTTGGTACACTATAAGTGCAAGGAATACAACGACACAGAAATAAAATCCCTGTACTCTCAGTGCATGATCAAAATTATAAAATGAACATTTCCATCTCAACTCCCAAGGGATACCTTTAAAAAGTCCCGTGTTTAATTAGGTGTGTAAACCACATTGTTCTAAGTAAATAGAGAGGGGTCATAATCCGTTTGGACTCAGTCTCTTTCAGGATGCTTGCAACATAGCTTATTTCTGATGAACTAGAGATTACCTTTTGAGAGATGAAAACTGATTGAGACCTGAGCATGCTCAGTGGTCAGCATAAAAAAAAAAAAGGAAGAAAAGAAAGAGAAAAAGCACATAGCTAAAAATTTTCAAGAAGCTTGCAGAACTATCAGTGGCACTGATTACCACTTCCATTCTGCACCTCTGTGCTCCATTCTAGACTCGGGACTTTGCCTGTCGTTATTAGGGGTTTGAGAGAGAGTATGATTCTTTACCATCAGATACTCATACCAATTGTGAAAGGTTGTCTGTTTAACCTTACTAAAAACAAAACAGGGAAGAATTGGGAATAAAAGTGAATTCGGATAATAATTAATCATTTCTTTTGAATACACAGATCAATCCCAACATAACTATGTTGGATGCATTACAGTTGCCTTCCTCAGGGATAGTCCCAGACACCCTAGCTGGAGACTATGGAATTACAAATCATTTTCCTGTGCTAATTCCTAACCGATCTCACCCTTAATTTTAAAGCAACAACAACAAAAAATCAAATCCTAATGGGAATTAAAAAAAAAATGTCGAGCCCCAGAAACATTCTTAAAGTCAATTCAAATTTATTGTAGAAGTGATCATTTATACACAAGTGTGAAATTCTTACCTGCTTAGATGTGAGCTTTATAAGAGAACCCTCGTAGCCCTGAAAATAAAGAACCAAATTTAGACAGTAAAAGGAGTAGTAGGGAAAAAAAGCAATTATAATAGTATCTTGCTCAAGTAAAAATGAGTTCTTTATGACTATCGACTAACTCTCCTCACAAATGCCTCTTAACTGGCAAAGCAAATTTTTATACACACACACACACACATATACACACAGGCATGCACACATATGCCTTTGTTGGCATACTTGGGGCCTAAAACAAATCAAGCCCTGAAATTCATGCATTTATCTGTGTTTCTTTTCCTTTTTTTTTTTTCATGAAGTTAAGCAATGGTAGGAAAATGGGTGTCTCTGTCAATAGCGTATCTTTTTCACTTTATAGAACTAGGAGAGGGAAGGGGGTAAATTTAATAAGTTAGGAAGGTATGTCCTACCTTGGTCATGTATTTGCTATAAAATAATAACAGTGAAACATTAAGACTGTACTAGGTAGAACTTATTAATCAAAATTTCAAAACTGCCAGGGAGGGTTAAGCAGGCAGTGATGCTAGATTTTGTTGAGTTCTCTTGCTTATTTATTAAAGCAGCCAGTCTTCATATTGGTATTCTGATTGGAACACACAAAAATCCCCTGTTGGCTTTTTACTCTAGCTCATCCCTCAAGGAAGACAGAAACACTCCCTTTCACTCCCTCCCTTCACCCCTCCTGGCTCCTCAGGATAAGGATAACAAAGTGTGCTTATTTCTGAAAATAATCAATGGTTGGTGGCTTGCACTGATGGATGACATAAGAGGGGAAAAAACATCACTTGACATGATTGACCACAGCACAAATCAGCGCAGAGACAGATTTGCAGACTAGGGTCAGCCTCCAGGGACTTTAATTAAAAGAGGGTTGTTAGGAATGTACCAGGGTCCTGACTTTAGCGTTGGGGTTTCTGGGCAGGATGTTGGCATTGATTCATCCTCATATCTTCCCAGCAGAGAACTATGTTACCAATTAGCTACTGTAAACATTTTACCTCAAAGGCCTTGAGCTCTTCTGGCCAGAGAGGTCATGATTCACAGCCCTGCCTCTTCCTTTTTCAAGGTGCTCTCTGTGAAAAACCCGGAGGTTTAAACATTCTGAAGGCCTCAGAGGCAAAGGACAAATGGATATTTCACTCAAGTAAAACACCACTGGAGATATATATCCTACAGGGATATATTATGCTTGCAAGTCACAAAAAAATAAGTAGTATCACATAATAGTTCAGAACACGGATGGCAGAACCAGATTGCTTGGGTCTGAATCCTGGTCCTGCCATTTACTGTGTGTGTAAACTTGAACAGAATTTATACGACTGCTTGAAGTTTCATTTTTCTCATTTGAAAAAATGAGGCCAACCCACTGTAAAGGATTGTGGTACCAACTAAATGAGATAATGCACATAATGGGCTTACTGGACGAACCTCTTTCTCTCTATACATACAAAACTATAACAGTATTTTGTCCATTAAAAAGATCAATTAGCTTAAAAAGTCCTCATCCTACAAAAGGTACAGATCACCAACAACTGCAACCCTGCAGAGGAAACTCAGGAAATTCTATAAAGTTGGCACTCTCCCCACAACACCTTCTCTTTCTTTCCCACTTCCTCTCAGCTAACCTCACGTCTAACCTTTCTGTTTCCCTCTGTATTGTCATCATTATTATTGCATTAAGGGGATGGCTGTCAGATGAAGTTATGTTCATTATTACACGGTGCCCTCTTGGCACATAAGCTGGACTCTATTTTATCTTTGTTGGTTTTAACTGGCTGCCCCCTCAACCCTCCCTCTTCCTTTCCTACTCAGCTGTTTTCAGCTGTCACATCCTATTCCCTTTCCTTAAGAAGCTAGATCCTGTCCCTCAACCTGTCTTTCCTCTGTGACTGGGGTCTTGCTTCAACTAGGATGGATCTTTTATCAGAAATCAAGATGGTCCATCGCCTAATCATAAGTGTGCCCCGGGCCAGGCATTACTGCTAACATGTCCTCATCGACCAGCTCAGATGCAGGCCCCCAGTTCACTCCTTGAGGGCCAAGGCCTCCAGCCCACATTTTGCCCAGTCCCAGCTTTATCCTATCCTCCACAGGCTAACTAACCTGCAAGGTTTCTCCTTGGCAGCATAGTTATTTCAGCATTAGGCTAATTTCCTGTAAAGTTTTCAATCCCAGCAACATTAAGTATCTCTAAAGTAGTTTTATCTCAATAGTCACATTGGACAGGCAACTGCATTAAAAAGTTCACTAAACACCAGGAAAGATTCCCCTCAACTCATACCAAGCAATTCTTTAAAATTTTGTTTGAAATTTAGGACTTCTCTCCCCTGGAAAAAATAATGGTATTAGGTTCCTCCTCTGGTTCATAAAAGCCTATTTAACCTATTATATCTCCAAAGAATAGTATTAACAGCACTATTTCAACTAATAAGGAACTCCTAGGAATAGGGCTTTACTTATATTATTGCATTTGAAATATAAATACATAATCAGTAATTGATAATGTTTTTGGTGATCTGTACTCATAAGAACAATCCCAATTGGCAGAGGATAAATGGAGAGGACAATAAGGCCGTTCTACATGGAACAGAGACAAATGCATGTTTCTATCAGTAAGAGAAAAGACTTCTCTAGATTAGCTGTTGGAGGGACAAAAGGCAGTTTCAGTGTTTCCTAAGTGAGACTGTGCATTAGAATTGAGTTGTTACAATCTCCTTTACTCATTAACCTTTTGAAAATATCACTTTACAGGTTACTTTCTCAAACATTTCATTTCTTCCTCCAAAAAACCCCCATGAAGCTTATGCACACACTTTTTGTCTCATTTTACAATTTCTGAAAGATAGAAAAGGTACCTTAAATGGTCTGAAAAGCAGATAGAGCTCCCGAGGTTTGATATCCAGAGGGAGACCACTGACAAATAGGGTCCGGACCTGGAAAATAAATATGAGACGTGATCAAAGGAGTGAACAATACAGAGAACAGCTCTCACTTGAGATTTCAAAAACACATTTCTTCAAACATTCCATGACTCTTACCTAATTCGTGCTCTTTCCATGACACAGCGACTACTTTAATGTTAAGATGCCATTAAGACAACTAAGGTGGATTATTCAGAGTGAATTACCTCTAGCTGATTTAAATTTACAAACTGACTTCTCCTTTCCCAACTAGCCATTGCCTGGTTCTAAAAATGGGAGGGGAAGAGAGGGTCCATATAATTAAAACATTAGCTTAAGAAAAAAATGTCATGAGGACAGTGAATCTACCACTCCTCTGCTCTAATCAAATGAACACAGAATGTGGTTCAAAAATAAAATTGAAACAATTTTTGTTTTCTCCTGCTTGTCTTATCATTGCTTCCTTCATCAGCATTAGTAATTTTAATAAGTTTATTAAACAATTCAAATGAATCTAAGTAGTAGCCAAAATGCACAACTCTGCATCTGCTCAGTCCCAAAACAGCAAGGCAGACCTCACTGATCTATACCTATAAGGCCTAGGGAACTACGTGCTTAGTGTATACTAAAATACAGAACACAGGTGACACACTTCCAGCTGGAAGGATCAGAGAAAACACATCAGCATCTGCATGGGAACTCAAAGGATAGGTAGGATTTTATCACACAGACATAACAGGTGAGGTGGATAAGTGTTATGGGCAGAGAAAAGCATTAAAAAACGCAATGAAGAGGGGGTGAGCATGGTGTATTCTGGGAGAAGGGTGAGCCAAAATTGAACAGGTAGCTGAGCATCAAACCACAGGGGGCATCAAAAGTCACTGGCTCAGGAATTTAGCCTTGATTCAACAGGTAAGGAGTAACCACTGAATTATCATCACCACATTTTGTTTCTACTTATTTATTTTAGTGTGTTTTGTGTGCCTTTAGTCAGTTCCCTCCACACAGCTTTATTGACATACAATTGACACAAAACATTAAGTTTAAGGTGTACAACATGTTGATTTGATACACATATATTGCAAAATTTACCACTTTATCTTTAGCTAACACCTCCATCATGTCACATAATTACCATTTCTTTTTTGTGATAAGAACATTTAAGATCTACTCTCAGCAACCTTCAAGTACATAATACAATATTGTTGACTATAATCACAATGCTGTGCATTACATCTCCAGAACTTATTCAGCTTCTCTCTGGAAGTTTGTACCCTTTGACCAACATCTCCCTATTTCCCCTAGCCCCCAGCCCCTGGTAACCACCATTCTAACTCTATGAGTTCGCCTCACCCCCCACATTTTCTATTCCTCTTCTCTACTCAGGCTGATACAATATGATTGAGCTCCTCATTAGAAATCATGTTGCCTCTTAAAGAAAAATTCAATGCTCAACTGTTAACCATGTATAAATATGGAAGATTTTTCCTCAGTGAGAAATACAGAGGGGCCAGCCCCGTGGCTTAGCGGTTGAGTGCGTGCACTCTGCTACTGGCGGCCCGGGTTTGGCTCCCCAGCGTGCACCGACGCACCGCTTGTCCGGCCATGCTGAGGCTGCATCCCACATACAGCAGCTAGAAGAATGTGCAACTATGACATGCAACTGTCTACTGGGGATTTGGAGAGAAAAAGAGAAAAAAAGGAGGAGGATTGGCAATAGATGTTAGCTCAGGGCTAGTCTTCCTCAGCAAAAAGAGGAGGATTGGCATGGATGTTAGCTCAGGGCTGATCTTCCTCGCCAAAAAAAAAAAAAAAAAGAAATACAGAGAATATTTTCTAGAATCCTAACATTTTCCATTGATTCTGGTTGTGAAGAAGCACAAATCAGCAAGCAAGACCCTTTAATTGATCCAGCACAGTATACAGTAAAATGTCATGCCATTTGCAAGTAGGTGTGTAATAAACGCTATGATGATGTAAATAAACAGCCCCAGAATCATGAATGCCCTATTTTATTATTTGCTTATTCATTCACATTTTAGATAGCTTTATTGAGGTATAATTGACAAATAATAAACAGTATTATCTTGTTTACAATTTGGTAAGTTTTGATATATGTATAACCCGTGAAACCATCACAACAATCAACATAATGAACGTATCCACCACCTCCAAAAGTTTCCACGTGCTCCTTTAATCTTCCTCCCACCCCGTCCTACCATCCTCATCCCCAGGCAATGACTGATATGCCTTTTGTCACTACAAATTAGTACATATATTCTAAAGTTTTATACAAATAGAACCATAAAACATGTATCCTTTTTGTCAGGCTTCTTTCACTTCAGCATAATTATTTTGAGATTCATCCACATTGTTGCATGTATCAGTAGTCTATTGCTTTTTATTACTGAGTAGTATTCTGTTGTACGGATACATCACAGTTCATTTATCCATTCACTTATCAATGGGACATTGGGGTTATTTCTAGTTTTTGGCTTTTACAAATAAAATAGCTATGAACATTCACGTGTCAATTTGTACAAGTCTTTGTACGCACATATGTTGTCTTTCTTCCTGGATAAATACCTATGAGAGAAATAGCTGGATGATACGGCAGGTATACGCTTAACTTTAAAAAAAAGAACTGCCCTTCAATTCCTTTTTTATGGCCTAGAATATAAGTGTTCTGTGTATATTTAAATGTGTATTCTGTTGATGCTGGGTGGAGTGTTTATACATGTCACTCAGGTCAAGTTTGTTCTTCAATATATCTTTTGCCTCCTCCCTTCTCCCTCAACTTAGCCAGTGATACATTCTTTCCAAGGAACTTTTATCAAAGCTAAGGCTGAATTACTGACAACTGCAAAAGACACGGACGATGAGGGAATCCTGCAACCCAGTGTGCCCTCCCTGCCATCCACTACTCTCTTCCCACAGTCCAGAAAGTGAATGCTATCTGTTTTACTTGGCTGCTCTGGCCAGGACAACCTGGGCAGAGAGGTAATTCCAGCTTCCATTCATTCAGATTTTGAGTGTCCTTTATACCTCTGACACAATGCCAGATGCTGACTGGATTACAGAGATTTCCATGGAAATAATATGATAAGCAGATCCTATGTTTTACACATTGGAGTACCATTTGTCCAGCAGGGAAGCTTAGCTATGTGACAGATATCAATTAGGATTTGGGGAGTTAACTAAGGAAATAAACTACCATTTATAGTCCTGTTCTAAAGAAAAAGGATTTACAAATTTGCAAGTCAAACTATTCACCAACAAAACCCACCAGAAATCTGAGGGTTATCAACAAAAGATTACTTGATACATAAAGTAAGGTTCAATTACATCCATAAAATGTAATATTACGCAAACAATAAAAATAATGTTCAAGGAAAAAGCACATACGGTTTGGTTTTTTTCTGTAAAACAAAAGAGCCAACATATACATGTATTTGGAAAGGGGAAAAAATGTCTTATAGGATATATATGCCAAAATGCTTATATTTATATGGTTTTGCCCTGAGTGGTAGAACAATAAGTGATTTTAATGTTTTTTATTAGCTTACTTGTATTTTCTATCTTTCCATAATAAGCATGTATTAGATACCATAAGTTTAGTTTGTTAGCTTGAGAATTGCCTAGATTTTTTTTGTTATTATTTTGCTTTCTTTAGGAAACTATCAATAATGTCAATATTTATATCAATAAAAATTGTTAAGTTTACGGAGGAAACTCTTTTTTATGTATTTCATATTTAAAAGTGAGAGATTCTTATCTTAGTGTCAACAGGAAACTGTTATACATGAACAAAAATTGAACTCCTGTTAGGCATAAGTTTGCCACTCACCCATAGATGACAAGAGGCTCAAAGCAACTGTTTTGTTCACCGAATTAGAGACAACTAATATGTCTGGCATTTTATTTACTCATGGACACAACTTACATTTCCTAGAATCTAGTGAAGCTCATTATCGTCTCAGAAACCTGCCAGGATGTCTCACCTCCCCTTGAAGAGATATTCTCTCCTCTGACAGAACTGCTAGACTGACTAGGAGAAATGATTCTTAAATACTTACATTATGAATTTATGAGCACAACTAAAGGTCACTTAAATCAAGTGCTTGGAATCCATGTGCTTTGAATTCTTTCTAGACTGCCTCAGACTAGGAAACTTCATTAAGTTAAAAAAAAAAAAATCCATGGATAATGAATAGAAAAAACTCTCCCTGAATATCTAATTCATGCTTTTCTACGATGACAGGGACTCAGAATCATGGAGCTATTTGAGAACATTTTAGTTTCTCTACTTGTCTCACCACCAGACTTCTTATCTGCACCATTAAATAGCAAAGCTATTTTGTCTTTGCTATGTCTATAGAAATCACAAAAGTAAGGCATGATTCTTGCTTGCAGGAAGCTTACTGTCAGTGAAGGGAACAACGTGCAAATGACCTGTGATGACATAGGTCCTTTACAAGGTAACCAATTAGAACCCGAACAGTGAGATACAAGTTTGAGAGACACGTAAATCCACAATCAGGTACTCAGAAAAAAATGTCCCCCCAAAATAAGAAATGAATGAGGCCAAATAATCTTTGTGGCAGGTCAGTCATTATTCAGGGCAGCCCTTAACTTACCAGCAGAGTCTATGGACACAGATGTGCTGGCACTATGCCTTCAGCATCACAGATGTTTACTGTATCAGACACATGGGGAAACACATTTCTTACTCAAGGACACAACATGCCTCATAGAAATTCAAGACATGAAGCTGCTGACAGCTCTATCCCAAAGGGACTCTAATGGATTCTGTGGATGTACCTCCAACTTCATTCTTACCCCAACAGGACTGAAAAAGAATAAACGCTAGGAGAAATTGTCCTGCAGAGGCCACGGTTACATTTTGCATAAAACTAGACATGTGTTCTTAAATGGCACTGCCAGCTCCCACTGGGAAAGATAAGTGACATTTCAGTGACTGACTTCTAATTTAATAAACTCGAATTCAATAAGTAAAGTCACTGTATCAGTCT